CAGAGAAATGTAATATCAGGACAGTTGGGTGACAGATTGCACCAAGAATTTGAGTCAATTCTGCAGCGTGATGTGTTTTTTTCCTCCCTTCTGGCCACAAAATCCAGAGTTACACAACAGCTATAAAAGCACAGCACCAAGATGAACTGCTGGGATGGTTACTAATGAAAGCAACCAGAGAAGCCATTGAGAGAACAGCCCAAAAGCTGCTTTTTCACATCTGTGCAACGCTAACTGGTCCCAGCAATTCAATTCAATTCAATTCAATTCAATTTATATAGCACCAAATCACAACAATAGTCACCTCAAGGTATTTATATTGTAAGGTAAAGACGCTACAATAATACAGAAACCACAATAATAAGACGACCCACTATGAGCGAGCACTTGGTGACAGTGGGAAGGAAGAACTTTCTTTTCTGGAAGAAAGCCCTGGTATGCCACGTCTTGGAATGATACTGCCTAAGTTAAGCATATATATGTAAATAGAATTCGTCCTAGCGTTGAACCCTGTGGTACTTCATAATTAACCTTTACTTAGGAATGACTGCCACTTATTTTCTTTCTTTAAAAAAAAGAAGACAAAATTCTCAATATTGAAAATAACTAGTGTACTTCCAAAAATGTAAATCTAACGCCCGCCTAGCTCTGCGCAAATAGACAACCAAAAAATATTCTCCTCACAGCAACTCTAAACATTTACAGGGATCATGGTGTATCTTTTTTAATCAGAACAAAAGTGTTTAAATAAGGAAGACCTGCCCCATGTTTGAGGTCAGGCAACAGTCTCTGAGGCTGTAACTCTCTCATTTATTAAAGCACAGATTTTATGTGGAGTGAGATCAAAAACCTAATCAGTTCATTTCTATATATTCCTTTAACAGTGTGTACATACCAAGGAATATACAAGATGCTCTGAAAATATAAGCCACGGGAGAACAAAAAGAGTTTACGTGAATTCCTAACTAAATGCTGCAGCTGGAAATAAATAGAAACACATATCTATATTGGCTTGGGATTGTGCAGAAATGAGGCTGCGGGCTTTGAATGATCTCTCCAGAACTCGTCTTTTACATTTTATGGACTTAAACCGCAAATCTCTGTGGCTGTTTAGTCTCCTTGGGGTTTCAGAGGATGCAGCTTTGTTCCTTGTTTGTCCCCAAAATGAGCCCCTTGGTGTGTACCCCAGTTACCGAGCCTGATTCCCATGAACTAATCGGCCTCTTATGAAACATTCACGCACGCACACTGAGTTCACCACGGCGTAAGAAGCACTTTGGGTCACAGGGTGTAGGTCGCTAATCACAATGATACTAATTCACTTCTCAATTAATTCTAATCAACAGGAGTGGAGGTGGAAGAGACTCTTGAACTGAAGTGGGATCTGACTGTGAATGAGGCTTTTTGTGGGATAGCTGAGGGTACTGGCAGACAACCTCCCCAGCGTTAAGCAGCTGGTGGTTTGCAGAAGAAAGAGAAGGAAAGTAGGCTTGTGTTACAGAGTGTTATTGCTAAATAGTGGAGGCTCTGACCCATGAGTGTGTCCGAGCAGATGTGCACTCTTTAGCACTGACATTTCTGCAGGAATCGTGCTCTTATGTCTCTTATTCCTGCTGCGAAAATGACAATACGCTAAATTTGTTTGCAGTGAAACCGCCCACCTCCTGTGAGAAGACAGTGTCTTTCTCAGGAAATGCACCACTTGAACCACTTCAAGATTTATAAGATTCCACATTGAGTGCATGACCTCTGACCATCTGCTGAATCCCCATTAAAACCCAGAGTGACTGCCTTGATCCGCGTTAATCCAAATCCAGAATCCTAATTGGAACTGTGGCACCAGAAAGCAGTTCAGGCCTTGCTTTTTTCCCTGTGTTTTCACAAGTAACGGTGCAAATCAGAGCTATTCTTCTCAGCAGTGCAGGAATGGAATTAAAAGAAGCAGTAATAATAATAATAATGCATAAACAACAGTTTTAGCCAGTATGTTATTTTGTGTGTTTTTTTTCTTTATTGTGGTAAATAAAAATAATTTTGTTTTTTCACCTGGGCTGAAAGTTGGTACATAATCTTTTCTACACATAATAGAAGGAAGATCATTCACCTGAGTTCAGATAGACAGAGAGAGTAACATCCAATTGAAAATTTGGTTAAATTTTTTTGTTTTAAACTTGGATTTTAGCACGGCAACTTCCATTAAAGCGTGGGTGCTGGGTGTGTCAGCAGCTTGGGCATTTACAGCCATATTTTGATTTTCTGTGGCTCTACAAACCCATGTAATAAATGCAAAAATCTTTCAGGAATGTAATATAAACCCTAAATGCAACACCACTAGAACTTAACTCTTCAGTGACCTCTGTAAAGTTTTAGCATGTGCCATCGACTGCATTCAAACTGTCATAATATGTCTCTTTCTGTATTTTAGAGAGCACATCTAACCCAGATAACATTTGTTTAAGCCCGCTGGCCACTGTGGTATGTACTGTACATGACGCTACAATAACAAGCAGTGATGAGCAGCATATTGATTCATTTCTTTACCTACAAGCTGTGATCCATATGAAGAAATATTACAGCGATGTGGAGAGTGAGTGCTTACTGAACCCGACTGTACTTTTAAATCCCCCAAAGTCGTATAGCAGGGCCATAAGATGAGCCAGATCACATCACCCCACACAGACATTTTCACGTCTGGAATAATACATGATACCGTGCCAGTACTGAAGTTTTTCCAGCAGTTATGGAGCCAGAACACAAAGCCTTGTTGTTACAGTGTTTACTTAAAACCCTGTGCTACAGAGCTTCAAAACAGTGTTTTTTTTCATTACCGTCCCTCCACAACAGGCTTTTTATCAGACGCCAAGAATCTGACCCTGTATGTGAGCCCGTCACTTTCCCGTCTGTGCGAGCACCTGCTGTTGTGCGGCGAAGTGTGAGATATTTTGCATAAGTCATGCACACTGTGTGTGTGTGTGTGGGAGTGGGGGCTGCTTTATAAAATAAATAAATAAATGAGTGAATGTATTCTGTTTCTGACCTTCACACAAGGAAGCTGTCCCCCCCTCTTTGCACTTTAGCTTACATACAAGCAAATCAAGCATGTCCAAACTGTGTTTTGTATTTTATCACCCAGCTGCCTTCTTGTGCTTATATATTTCTTTTTTCTGTGGCATGCTGTTCATGGTCACATGGTTATATGTGCATTTCTTTCTGTCTGTATTCAGAGTTATAGTTCAGGCAAGGTCTTACGTGTTATTTCAGAACGATGTACTGTTTGTTTTTTTGTCCACAGTTGTGAATGAAAACCTGTGTGATTTTGCAAACTGATAAACTGATAAACAGAATCAGCATGTTCTGAGTGAAAGATGCACTGTGCATGCTTAAAAGTTTTTAATCTTTTTTTTTTTTTTTTTTAGCATTTCCCTCTTATAAAGATTCTCGTTGACACTGAATGTGAAAATCTGGCTAAGTGGACCAACCTCATTTTCCACAAATTAAAGGCAGGAAATAAGGATAACCGTTTCAAATGCAGAGTGTACTACAGTTCAGTAATCAGCAGGGATGGAGGGGAACAGGGAGGGTGCCAAAGAACTAGATACCAGCAGAGGGACTGAAAGAGAGGGGCAGGAAATGACTTCTAGTTACCTCTGGGGTTATTGTCTTCTGGGCCTATGTGTCCTATGTGTCCTATGTGTCCTATGGGCCCCATTTGTAAATTTCATGGCCTTGACCCAGGTCGTGGTTGGGTTCAGAGTGTGTACATCGGTGGCCTGTCTCTCCTTGTAGGTTCCATCACACCCCCTTTGGCCTTCCTGTTACCCTGCATGAGAAACAAAGCCCAAAGCCTTTAGCCAGGTTCCCTTATTTTCAGCGAGTCCCCTTCTAATATTTGTAAGAACGTTATCATGAAGGCATTCAAATAATACCTTTATACATACTATACTATTCTCAATGTATTTCTTGAGACCTTAAAGAACATACTGGTACAGAGGAAAGTATATGATGCTTTAAAAGAAGCCACAATAGCATTTGCTTTATTGATGGCTATATAACTAAGTACAAACAATTTAATAATGAACTATATGACTATAAACATTTTTACCTTTAGTTTGATACTTTTTGATGATACTAAAGTTGTATTTTGATCAAGCAGAATAGGAAACACTGTACTTTCGTGTTGTAGAAGATGCACTGTTAAACCCTTTTTATACTTACTGATACATTTAGCAACATTATTATTCATTGGGAGTTTTGGTTTAGGTCGTCTGCAGATCCACACACACACACCTTTCAGCTCTGTTGTCCTCACCACCAACTCCAAAGCACACCAACAGCGCTACAGTAGCTGCACTTCTACAAGTCACAATGTCCTTGATTTCTTCCTGGTTTCTCTGGAACCGTGTTAAAGATCTGAGACAAACAGACTTGTTGTCTCAGACTGCTGATGTTTTCTCCTGGCTGGGTTAGACCTTGGTGGCATGCAGGCAAACAAGTAGAGACCTTGGGATGGATTTTCTTCTAACCTGCTGTATTTCTGCTTCAAAAAAAGAGTGGAAACAAGGACCGGTGGGAGATACGGGAGCGATAAGGAAGAGGTGGTAAACACATGCCAACTGAAGTTCTTGAAGGGTTGTTGACGCAGAGGGTTGGAGAGGGGCAGAATGACAGTGACGTAGGGGCCAAGGTGACAGCAAGTTGTTTTCGTGCATGGAGCTGCCGAAGACTGAAAACATAAACAGAGTAGGACTCTCTCCTCTTCCTTATGGACTACGTCTGTTGTTCCAGAGAACGCTGATTTTGAAGCGTTTGTGAGTAACAGTCAGCTACAACCTGGAGTGTGTTTTCTGATTTGCAGGTAAAGCTCATTTGGGTAAATAACCACTTTAGGATAAATGGGGTTTATCAGGATTCATGTCTGAAGGTTGAAAAGAGACAAAGCAGTTTGTCTCTTCTCTCCTCTGTCCCTCACCTCTCTCACCGTGTTATTTTGTCTCCTTCAGGTTCTCCTGGAAAAGCCGTCAAGTGCCAGCACGCTCTCCCTTTACCCTGGCAGCTGAATAGATTCCAGGTATTAATTTGTGGCTTGGTGTCAAATTTCCTCTCTGGTTCCGCATATACTACACGCTGATCCTTTCTTGTAGAAGTCACAGATATTGTCTCAATCGTTTTAGAACTCAAACCGTTCAGTTTCACTAGCCACACTCAAGCCTGATTACTGACAAACCTGCTTAATCTAGAAACTACTTAAAGAGAAGGTATCTGACGAAGTGAAGCACTAAAAGATCTCAAAAAAGCAACACATTGTGCCTCGATCTAAAGAAACAGCTGAGAAATAAAGTCGCTGACATCTCTCAGAATGGAAAGGGGTTACAAAGTAATTTCTAAGGTGTTAGGACATCACTGAAGCACAGTCAGACCTATTATTCACAACTGGAGGAAGCTGAAATTACTCCAAGAACATATTGATAACTCATCCAGGATGTCAGAAAAGAACCCAGAATGTAATCTGAAGACATGCAGGCCTATTTGCCACAGTTAAGGTCAGAGTTTATGATTCAACAATAAGAAAGAGAGACTGGGCAAAAGTGGCACCCATAGGAGAGTTCAAGGATAAAACCACTGCTGACCAAACGCCCCCCCACAAAGGCTCGTCTCACATCTTGATGATCCCAGAGGCTTTTGGGAAATTATTTATTTGTCGACTGACAACACAAAAGCTGAACTTTTTGGAAAGTTTGAATTCTGTTATATCTGCATAAAAGTAACACAGCATTTCATGAAGCACATCATACCAGCAGTCGAACATGGTGGTGAGGATGTGATGGGCTGGGACTGCTTTGCTGCTTCACTTGGACAATTTGCCATAACTGATGGAACCATGAATTCTGTTCCCTACTAGAAAATCCTGAAGGAGGATGTCCGACCATCTGTTCATGCCCTGAAACTCAAGTATGCCTGGATTATAGGCTACCACAGAACAATGATCAGAAACACACCAGCAAGTCCACCTCTGAATGGCTAAAAACCAAAATGAAGGTTTCGGTGTGGCCTAGTAAAAGTCTGAACTTAAATCAAAGATTAAGATGCTTTGGCCTGACCTTAAACAGATCGTTCATGCTCAAAAACTCTTCAGTGTGTCTGATTTAATTATTTCTGGAAAGAATAGTGGGCCAAAATTCCTCCACATGGGATGTGAAAGACCCATTGTCAGTTAAAAGAAGTGCTTGATTGCAGTTCTTGCCGCTACGGTTGGCACAAACATGTCAGTGTGACGAATGTGCATAAAACTATGAAATCATGAAGGGGGTAAATACTTTTTCACTGCACTGTATGTCTGAAAAAGGCACCCAAGTGTTTAAGTTGAACTCAGCTTTGCACACAACCTGTCTGTAAAACAGGCCAAGGTAAAATAGGAGATCATTAAACCTACAGTGTACATAACTCAAACTGACCTCCTTTCCTGTTTAAACAACCGCAGAGATCCTTCAGGAACCCCAAGCTGGAATTTAGCCAGATACCTTTGCAGAGTATTAATTTACAGACTGCTCAGTATTCCTCTGATGTATTTCCTGACATTTACACATCGTTAGTTCAGAGGTAACTGACCTTAAAGTTCTTTAGACCTCAACATTTAAACATAGCCACGCTAAACCTGGATCACCAGCATTCATGACCAGATTTCACTTCTAATGCTGCAGAACAGCAAGTAGATCTGGAGGGGAAAGCATTACTATAGCTGTGTGAACTAGTACATCCTCAGCTTTTATCTTAAATAATTTGAGAAAATGGGTCACATATGTTTTGAACAATTTGAATCTGTATGTACTGTGTTCATTAGCTATACAAGCTACACGGCCTTGGAGTGGTGCTCAAAGTGGGGAGCAGTTGCAGTTATAAATATAAAATAAAACTAATGTGGATAAATATGATTTTTGGTGGAAAATAAACAAATTCTAATGATTTTTAATGATACAAATTGTGTTGTGCAGATGTTTTTCAGCTTGTCCCATTATTATTAGTTTATGATGGAGAAACAACACTGCTGGAAATGAACGGTGGCATGAATGTTTAAGTTAGTTTAAAGGAGAGAGCTTGGCCTGTAAATAGTCTTCACTTGCTTACATGCAGTCGATTGTGTTGTACCTGAAATGGAGGTCAATTCCGTTAGCTTTTAAAATTCAGACACTGCCCCCTGCTGGACGGAACGTAAACTGCACAAGGTGAAATAATGGCGTGCCCGCTAAATTTGTGGAAATTCCTTAATTTTCATACACAACAGTGCAACAGAAAACAGCTATATTAGCCTTGTAATGTTTGCTATTTAAAAATAAATCTACTTATCTGTGTCTGGGAAAAAGTAATTATAGAATTATTTACAGGAGCTGGAGGTCAAGAGGCGAGATGGTTTGGACACGTGCACAGGAGTGAAGGTAGATATACTTGACAATTGATGTTCATGGGCATGATAAAGGACATGCAGGGAGTTTGTATGACAGACGCGGATGTTAGGGACAGGGTGAGATTGTGGTAGATTTTTCCATTTAATGACCTCTAAAGGAAACAGTTGAAAGAACTAACATCCATTTACTCTGAAAGAGTAGTTTAAAACTAGTCTATTTTAATACTTTTGAACTGTAATGGAATGATAGACTTGAGAAGTTGACACTTCAGAGTAACTAAATGTATAGAAGTATTGGATTATTTACCTTAATTCACATTCAGCGTACAAGAATTTGACAGCCACCCCTCACCTACTATTATTAATGCATCAATAATGAGCTATTACTTGTCTCATGCAAGTTTATCATGGCAGGCTAATGTTCCAGTTTATTGAATTAAAAAAATCACTTAGTATAAAAGAAAGAAGACTTCAAGGATAATTTTCAACTCAAATTTATTTCAAAACATCTGAACAAGTGGCGGGTAGTCCACTGAAAAAGACTGCATCCTGCTGTAGTTGATGCTCCACAGTGTTGGATTGGCAGCTTCAGCGGGCACTGTGAAGACAGAGCAAGTGAGAAAGGTTTAAGCCTGTGTTTAAGTCTTATACATTCCCAAATTTGGAACACTGATACGCTCTGAATTGAGCAGCATTAGACATGAGCAGCCTATCGGGAGGACTGAAGGAAGAATTCAAACATCAACCCCTGACCACCATGGGACATATTCCCTACACACTGAAAACAGGCAACCTTTGTGCAGCTCTGTTACACTTTAACTAGATAAGAGCTTCTGACCAGTGGCCAAGATGCAATTATGATCTAATACCGCAGATATTTGAATTGAGAACTTAGAACATTAGGTTGAGTTTAAGACTCATTATGGACATTTCAAAGCCAAAAACAGATCGAACCGCAATATGATTTACTGCAAGCCATTTTTAATGTTTTTTCTAACCTTATAAGGTTATATAAGGAATATAAATATTCCCATAGTGCATGTTAGTACTATGGGAATATTTTTTACTTCTTGTTAACTATAATACAACGGCAAACATTGTCATCACCTCCCCCGCAGTGTTTTATTATCATAAACTGTTCTTGGTTCACTAAGTTTTTAATAACAGTAACGTTCAGCATCATCAAAGTATCTAAGGTCAAATGCATATTATCCATCAGCACTCTCACTGTGGGCTTCACCAATGCTGACAGTTTAATGACTCAAAACACTGATCACCTGAGGTTATATTGTCTCACCTATCGCAGCCTCCTGGCTTCTCTTTCAGACTCCAGGAGTGTCAGCACATCTCCCTCTCTGACTGGGCCCTTCACGTTCCTGATAATTGAGCGGTTGCTGTCGTCCATGAACTCGACACGGACCTGGTGGGAAACGGGAGTGCCCAAAACTTAAACATTAAAATGACTCTACAGCAGACACATTTTTCTGTTTAAATTAATGATGTACCACTTAAAGAGGGTTTTGTTCAAATGTTTACAGACAGCCTATATGGATTTTTCCTCATTTTGTTTTTGTTATGCATTCCTTTCTGTGGCAAAGGAGCAAAGCAGTTGTAATTCAAAATATATATTTATTTGGAAATTTTTCAGCTGTTTAAATTATCCACTTAACATGGAAAATAAACCAATGGTCATGATAATCAATTTCAACAAGGAGTAACTGTGGGGTGATATAGCACAATATCTAAAAAATTATTCGGATGGCATTTTTTTCAAACGTTATTTTTTATAATCTGCTTAATCTTTGGGACCCCGACTCTGTTCCCTGCTGTTTCACTGTCAGAAAACAGTATCTGAGGATCTCACTCTGCAATGCTGTAAAAGCGATCAAGTGAACACCCAACAATCAAGTGAACACACATTTTAGTAATAAAGTACTCAGTTAGTGGGCAGCACAGTGTTACAGCAGTTTGAAGAATGGAAGTATAAACACATGTATGTTAACTTAACTATAGACCCTTTTCCCATTAGTACCTACACAGATTGACTTGGTAACGCTCTCATCCCGACACTGACCAGCGAATCGGTGGCATGCAGTCTGGTGATGCAACATTTTAGGACCTACCTGCTCAGATCGCTTTGTAACCCCGTTAGCAGGTAGCATGTAGTATGACCTAATGGAAAACCCCGAAAACCACTGAAAGTCAATCTGAGTAAGTACTAAGAAAAAAGGGGCTTAAGTTGGGTGTAGCTATGAATGTAACATAAATTGTCATCATTAGCCCAAGTAACCAGTACACCAAACAGCACACTAAATGACAACTGAGTTAAATGGCCTGCATCTGTATAGCGCTTTACTTAGTCCCTAAGGACTTAGTCCCCCTAAGGCAGGGGTGTCAAACTCAAATACACAGTGGGCCAAAATTCAAAACTGGAACAAGGTCGCGGGCTAACATTAATATTTATTGAAGAAGAAAAAAAAATCTTCCTCCAGATTTAAGAATGAATCTCTTCTTATGGACTCAAACAAGTTTTGCTGAAAAACTGAATATGGAACAAGAAAAGCTTAATACTAAACAATATATATATTAGCTGTATAATACCAGTAGGCCAGCTCTAATAATAATTTGGTATGGCTTGGCCCGCGGGCCAGAGTTTGATACCTATGCCCTAAGGCAAGCTACATTGTAGCCACAATGTAGCTTGCCATTCACACACTGGTGATGGCAAGAAAAAAAAAAAAAAAGCATTGATACATTTTAAAGATACATCTGGTTTCTCTATTAAACGTGGTTTCCAGTTAGGATCAATGGCTTGCTCGAGTATGTCATTAGTAGTTAAAATCCAGGTTAAAACTTTGTCCCTCCCAAAATAACCTGCCTCCTTTGTGGTAAAAGAAATCAGAGGAGTCATATTTTGTAGCTTAATCAGTTTTTCATCTTAAACTTCTGATAATAATTCAGCTTAGTTTCAGTTAGTTGGTAGAGCGAATCTGCCTAGTTTCAACGTTAGTGACTTTAGTTACAATACTATGGAGGATATTTATCAGGAGCAAAAAGTTAAGCTCAGATCAAGTTTTTGTTTTGTTTTTAAAGAAACAAACAAAACCCCTGACTTACAGCTAAATCAATGTCCAAACTTCAAACAGCTGTCTCAATACCTCATACTTAATGTGTAAACAAATTATCTAAGACAACACGAAACTTGCATTTTTCATCCTAGCCCTTTTTAAGAGGTACAAAATATCGTTTGTTATTTTTTCCTTTGTTTAGAAATCTAGTTTTTAATTTCACATGAATTTACAGCCCTAGATTGTGTATATCCTTGGCAATAACTCAAAGTAAGCTTACACATATAAAAAGTAAATATTAATCGCAGATACTGGTTTGTGCCGGATAAAATTTGAGGTGTTAGCCAAACTAGCATACCTGTGTACATTGTCCCTGGGAACCGGTTCTCCCGAGAACCTTGGTGACCTGAAAATGAAAACACGAGCAACATGAACATCAAATCTCTAAATTCAATATAATACATATATATAATTTTTTAACGAACACAGAGAATAAAGAAAAGTGAGCATAAGTACTGCGGCAGCTAGCAGAGACTGTAGCATTGACAGGCCTCCATGATAGAAGCACGAGAGCCGAAGAGACGTTTGCTAACTACGACACAAAAAGTGGATTTAGCCTAAAAATTTTGAGCCCATTTGAAACAATACTTATTGTTGTGGGCATTTAATCGCTTTGATACGATAATTTTCAGCGTTTTATAGATTTTCTTACTCTTGCAAGCTTGATGGGCTGCACGCGGCTGGCGTCCATGTTGTCAGGTTAGACCGGAAAGGAAGTCACGTGGTGCTCGGATGGCATATATGGCAACTGTAATCTTTTAGTTTATTAAAATTTTAAATTTTAAATTATTTTTTAATCAAATTACAAGTAACAGAATCTAAACTTACGAGTAATAACAACAATAACGAACTTTAATAAAAAACTATTAGACATTCGTAGTTACCTTCTTTTCCGGTAGATTGGGAAATACCATTCGAAGCACCCATGGTGGAAACCTGGGCCAAACCATTATTCACAGAGTTTCCAAAACTATTTTAATGTGCAGAAACAGAGAAAGGAATTTGTCTCTGTGTAACTGTATCTCTTTCTTTGTGCGTACATACAGACAATTCAAATACTGAATTATTGGAGTGACTACAAATGCTTGTGATATCAGTCAAAAAACACAGCCTATTTATCCAAAGTCAGTATCAAAAAGGTTACTGATTCAGTACATTATTAAATAAATTCACTGTTATATAATCAATATTTTGTTTTTAGTTGGCTTGACTTAATATTGAAATGAATACTTTGTCAATTATACCAGTGAGTTATTGTAAAGAGAAACATATCAGTGATAAACAGTGATAAGGGTCTGTGCAGAATATACAGAAAACAAAGACAATTTTTATCAGTCATTATTAATTTTAATGTATTTTGACTTTAATTCTAAAATCAGGCTTGTTTAACTAGTTCAGCAATAGGTCAAAAAGGCCATAGCTGATAATTTGCGTAATCTACCTGAATATCCTGTGTAAAAGCTCTCTGTAGCCTTGTTAGCCATGCCATACTGTCGTGACACCACCCTCTCTGCTTTTCTTCCTCTCTCAGAAGTCAAAGCCTTAAATCACAACACTAATCCTTGTGAACAGTATTTTTAACTTGCGCTGGGACAGAAAGAACAGCAATAGGATTAGAGAATCAGTGAAGAGGCTGAAGCCCTAACTCATGCAGTTGATCTTCTTGCACAGTGACTCAAAAGTACCACAGCTCTTTCTTTGTCTTTATTTCAACCTGGAGGATTTTTTTTTCTTTTTTACCATGGTGATATTTTTGCTTGATATTGTAGATTTAAAGAAAAAACATATTATCATTTTTCTCCTGTGATTTGATTCAAACTTGGCATAAAACATTTTCCAGTGATTGGTCTTCTGAGCAGCTGTCGCAATGGAGAAGTGGAAAATTCTAAAAAAACGTCGCTCCAGTCTTTTTGCATCCGTAAAACGCGACTTGAGTTTCACGCAAAGCATCGAAGAAGAGGAGAGTGAATTCCCCTTTTCACAGGACAGCTCAATAAAACCGTGGACATCAATGGACAACCTTGACGCTCCTGGTGCCAGAAAAGAGGTGAAAAAAGATGAGAAGAAGGATGCACCAAACCCCTGGCAATCAAACATTGTCAACCTAAATGTGGGCGGAAAGGTGTTTCACATCCCTAAACACTTGGTCCTCCGATACCCAAAGACCAGGATCGGAGTCCTTGCTCTGTGCAATGATCCAGTTAAGCGTCTGACGCTCTGTGACGATTATAATTTTCAGAACAACGAGTTCTTCTTTGACAGGGACCCCATGTTTTTCCATTACATATTTCACTTTTACTGCAGTAATGTTCTGTGGGTGATGGATGGCTTGTGTCCTGTCAACTTTGAGGAAGAGATCTCATTCTGGGGGCTCAAACTGAAGGATACTCCAAGGTGTGCTGTAGATATTTGATATGCAGTGTATCTATTGTGGCTTTGTCTGTGGATATTTAAAATGTAGCTATGGTAAAGCATTTGTCTGTCTTTCTCAGGTGCTGCCGCATTCTGTTTGAGGAGAAATTGGACGACATCAGAGAACACCTGAAGGTTAACCAGGAGCTCATAGATGAGATTAAACCTCACCATGATGACGAGAGCTACAAGACCATGTTTCTTGGAAACTTTCGTAAAGCCCTTTGGGACTTGATGGAGAATCCTTACTCCTCACTGTCAGCCAAAGCCTTTGCAGTGTTTTCCAGTCTCTTTGTGCTTATCTCTATCGTTGCCATGACTCTGAATACAGTCAAAGAACTTAGGCAGTACAAACTTGCAGGCAAAACCTACATGGAGTGGGTGGAGGTTAGTTCTATCCTTTTCTTCACGTTGGAGTACTTTCTGCGACTACTCACCACATCAAACATCAAGCATTTTGTGAAGAGCGCCCTCAACTTTGTCGATTTGGTAGCCGTCATGCCCTACTTCCTCCAGATCATTTTTGAGACTTTTGTATTAGACGCTGAAGACATCAGTGCTCAGGTGGATTTGAAGGCCATGTCAAGAGTCAGCAAAGTCAGCAAGGTGCTCAAAGTGGTCAAGCTCATGCGCATCTTCCGTATCTTGAAGCTTGCCCGTCACTCCACCGGCATGAGGGCTTTCGGCTTCACCATCCGCCAGTGCTCTGAGCAGGTATGAAGGGAATAATCAATAAACACAAATGCTGGTAACATTTGAAGGCCTTTGAATAACATGGCAACCTGCAAGGCAAAGAGACATAAGAGGAACAGGAGGTAGTTTTATGTGAAAGTCACCACTAGGAGAAGTAGATAAGATAAGATAAGATAAGATAAGAAGAGAAGAAGGTTATGATAGTTTTACAATAGGATATCACAATCGATCTAAATTTGCATATTTTATTTCTTGAAGAGAGTGACACTAGATGATTAGCTTATGATAAAGAACAAAATCCACCTACCAGCAGCTCTAAACTTCACTAATGTAACATAATATCACATTTATTCATTTAATTAACAAAAGACAGAACGGTTTCATTGCATATGATGTGTTTAAAACCCATTAATTGTACAAAGCTTGCACAGCCGAGTGCAGAAATGTCAGGAAGGCTTTATAGTAACATCTCAAACTGTCATATTACTGGATGCAAGCCCCTAAAATAGTATCTGCTTTATGACATAGTTTCATATAAACAAGCGCTGTCATTGACGTGCTCTGTTCTGTCGTGCTGCAGGTGTGCTGTCTGTTTCTGTTCATCACCATGGGCATCTTCACCTTCTCTGCTCTGATGCATTCTGTGGAGGTGGATCAGCCCGGGACACCGTTCAGCAGCATACCAGATGCCTGGTGGTGGGCTGCGGTGAGTACGGGACAAGCTCTACGTCCAGTAAAGTTCTATGGCTCTAATATGTTTGGGATGCTTGTTACAAATGCAGTATAACTAAAACATCAGATTTGGGTTTTTTTTGTGGCTTTTAGTGATTTCTATAAAAGTTTTAACACTCTGGGAATTATTTCTTCTTTTTAATGGCAGCTGTGATGATATTGTAAATTATTTTTGAAAATATTTTCAAGTCCAATTTTTAGGTCCAGCCACACTGATGATGTAACCCTACTTATAACACCACAGTTGCTCCACATCTTTTCATTATGAATGGGGCAATTAATGTTTTACAGCATTTAGAGCGTGTAGCCAGCTCTCACCGGCTGCCACTCAGCTTCTTCCGGATCAATTAACTCAGTTATGAAGCTTTGGTAAGCTCTTTCTCTTGACAGCGCTGAAGGGAAGCTCAGTTGGGGTGTGTCAGTATGATCAAGCAGTGCAGTGCATTTCGGGTGTCAGGGATTAGGTCTATCTGGATTTGTGCTGCCTGCTTAGTCAGACCAAGGCAGATTCACAGTACAGATCATGTTCCGTGCTATTTTTATGCCTTTAAAATGCAGTAAACACTGATTATATTCAAGAGCTCAAACACAGTCTTCTTTAGTGAATTAATGGTTGGCTAAATAATATTCTGAAATCGTCTCTCTTGCAGAAAAACCTACTAACTATAATAAATGTAGGATTTGCCTTTGTGTAATTCTTACCCCAAAGTATCTTCCATAATTGGTACTATATGTGAAACGAAGAGAAAGATGTGGAGTAACTCCAGGGTCACATAAACTTGATATAAATTATCTAGCCTATACAGATGTGGAGAGTGGCTACTGATGGCCGCCAAGCTGTCATATGGTTAAACAGTAACTTATGCAAATTTACTTTCAAGCTTCATATATAAATGATCAATATTTAGAGGTATGAATATCACACCATTTCTAGGAAGGTTCACATGGGTCACACTGTGTCACCAGCCTGGTACTCTGTGTGTCTTTCAGTATCATCTGAGGACATGGTTTTCATTTATCTGGTGGCAGCTGTGAATTTATATGTGTCTAATTCCCTCTAATGCTGCGTAATGCGTCTCATTTGTAGCCAGACAAAGTGATTGCATTCAAGAAATATAAAAAAAGCATTTTAATTACTCGATTCACAGAAAGTAATGGATACAAAGTGCATGAGGCCAGGTGAAAGGCAGGTACTGTGAGGATTAAACTGAAAACTTCTTCTGCTCTTCTCTTGATCCCTACTTAATTCTACACGAGAGAGCACTGGCTTTGAGTAATTTTATGGAAGCTGACGCTATTCCTTTTTTCCTATAGGTCAGCATCTCTACTGTGGGCTATGGAGATGTTGTCCCCATCTCCTACCTCGGCCGCTGTGTGGCATTCAGCTGTATCTCCTTTGGCATCATCCTTAACGGCATGCCCATCTCCATTCTGTTCAACAAGTTCTCCGACTACTATGCCAAACTGAAGGAGCAGGAATACAACTTTTCCAACACGGTGCGCACCTTCCAGCTCAAGAAACGTCTCAGGCGTAAGTTTGACAGCTGCTTCGAACCCCGGCCGGAGGACTCGGATGAGGAGATACACTATCGGCCCAGTGGCAGGCAATTTACCCCAGAGATTGAAGAATAAGAAAAGTTGCCTAGTTGTGACCTCAGTAACCCTAAATGGCCTTATCACCCTTGGGTATACAAAAGTAAAAGACTCCATCTGCCTCTAAGTCTCAGCCTATGTGATTGAATAAAAGCGATCTGATGGGGGAAAGCAGAAAGCTGAGACAAGCATTAAGCCTCAGCTTTGCAGTAGGTACTGTTTTCACACTATAGCGACAATTCCTCTGTCAAATGGACAAGATGCTCAGACTAGACAACTTGTTATGTGTTTCCACAAATAGCACACGTCTACAACTAATGCTCACTCAACAGAAATAGATGTTTGACACAAGGAGGTCAAACAGTGACATTATGAATGAAGCAAAACTTCCCTTATATCCTTTTGAAAAGACTACTGTCATTGAAAGTGCTATTAATGAACAGTTTTGAGTGACTACATAGTCTCTTACATTTTACTTTGATGCTCAGCAAAAAAGAAATTGTACCTTCAAGCTCTAACTAGTGCAACTTTTGGCCATTACCAGCATGTACCGCCACACATCATGGCGGCTTTAAGTCACCATTTACTTGACTGCAATAAAAACATTTTATTTATGTGTGCATCTCAGAACAACTATAACACCATCAATGGAAAGTTCTCACATTTGACACAATTTATGTTTCATCGAAGTGGCATACCTATCGAAAAAGCACTCCCTCTGTTTTTGTCCAGTCACTCAGTGTGGTCTTGAAGACACCCAAGTGGGGTGAGAGATATAGCAGCGGGTGTCAGTATACCGATCAGGAGCCTCAGTGTAATTTGGTTGTCAAGGATTAGTAGGATTTGTGCGTCTGTTTCCTACCTAGTCAGACAAGTGGAAAAGTCAATCAAGTACTGTGCTATTTTGGTGACAGAAGGAATCTGATCAGGTGTGCGCAGACAGGACGTATTTAAATACTTACAAGCTATATTTAATAGACGTACAATAGAGGCCTCCAGCGTAGTGATTTTTCACTCCTACTAACACATGGGCAGTGATGCCTATATCTGTCATCCAACAGCTCAGAATTTGTCGCGATCCCTGCGGCGAGAGAGAATTGAGCTTTCCGTTCTTGACCAGGAGATGTCAGGATCAATCATGGTCTAAGCCTTGTCGTCACACTGTGATGCTATGATTAGATCATAAACCCAAGTCTTGCCTTGGGCACCAGAAGACCAGCATTATAACATATTAAACAAACATACAAAAACTCTTCGCGGATACAGACACCACAGTTTTCTTGGCTCATCTGCTCGACACTGGTTTTAAATAAGAGGGACAGATAGAGGGGATTAGAGACAAGTTCTCTGGTCAGTCACGACAGATGCTGTGGGAGTTACACTCCATTTCCAACTGCAGGAATATTGTGTTGAGCCTCTGCTCATGAAAGACATCCTGAACATCCATTTTACAGCAGACTGTGACTTCATCCATTTGAATAATAATCAGAGACAATGACTCATTAGTGACTGATGTTTCCTTGTCATTAAGTTCTGTGCAAGT